ACTGTCAAGGGGCACTGAGCTGCTTGTGAGAGAAAGGCATACAAGTGTAGAATACAAAAGCAGAAATTCCCCAATAGAGGAGAGTATTCTGGAGAAGTATTGCTATATGTTTATGTGTGGTTTTTACTCTTCAAGTAAATTGTAATGATCACTTTGTAAACAATATACTTTTAAAAAAATATACAGCTTTCTCAGAGCCCTTGGTTGACACAGCACAGCCATTATTATGTTATGCAAGAAGATAGGCTTCAGTAGTTTCTGCTAACATGCCAACTAGTTCTTTTTTAATCATTTATGGGTGATTTCTAGAAGAATTCCTTTTTTTCCGGTATGGTGCTTCTCTTGCTAGAACTATACAGTGACAAACATGAGACAACAACAAAAAAAATCAACCAGTATTCCATATACAATCTTCTGAAACCAACAGTGCCCACTCTGAAACACAGTAATATGTTTGAGTTGGAAAATAACCTAGAGGTCTTTGTATTTTACCAGTATTGTAGGTTATGTTCTATCTTTCTGTGATATTCAAATAGCATAGCTGATTTTATTTGCATAATGCATTGCCTTTCTTGAAAAGTAAAGGGTTTCCAAATTACTATTTTCTTACAGAATGAGCTCCATCTTGATAGTTAAGCGTTGTAGAGTGTCACTTCTCTTTATTATCACATGGATTGTTTCCTTCTGGTGATTTCAAAATTGACTTTTTCATGCACCCTTTCACAAAACATGATGTGGCAACTCTGGCAGTCATGTGTATGTAAAATACCTGGAGGCATATTTGAGTCTTATGCATTTTAAACTTTGATTATACAGTCAAAATCAGGAAAGTTGAGCAATTAAAATATTTGCATTGGGATTCCTGCTTTACCTTCCACAAAACTCCATGTGCTCATACGAGACACAAGTAACACCACATCAGACTTCTACTATTAAACGGATGTTATTTATTTAGTATTTTACCAAAGTGGGCTTCTGTTTGAAATAACTCATTCCAGCCTACTGCTGAGCTGTTCCTGTATATCCCACCCATAGGTATTTCTCTTGGGATTTCTTGGATTTCTTGGTATTTCTCTTGTGTCTACCGATTTAAGAATTATTTGTTCTTCTGCAAGAAAATTTCTCTGTGATTCTAGGGTAACTCGGATTGTATTATATGAAGCATGTAGGTTTTTTAAAGAAAATCTTACAACCTTTGTAGGAAGTGCTTTTTAGCATGTTCTAACATTTAAAGACAACTTTTTAAAAGTTGGTTGTGTGTCAGAGCAGAAAACATAATTCATTGTGAAATCAGTCATGGACCTAAGCACCTTGAGAATATCCTTTTCAGGGGCAAAAAAGGAGTTTCCCCAACTCTACTTATATAGCTAAAACCATGTAAGGCCAAGCCTATAAAGCTTAAGAGGAGAAAGCATTGCAACACTTCTAACACGCTTAATTTTCTGGGAGAGTAGGAGGATGTACTTAAACTTGCATGTTAAGGATAATAAAACTTGAAAGATCAGGGACTACCTATTTTTCTTTGGGTTTTGGAGTTTGTGGTTTGTTTGGTTTTTTCTTAATATGATAAATTTACAAATTTGGATTTTTATAGGCGATTGGAACCTGAAAAGTCAACTTCTGTCTTTGGCCCACAAAAAGATATGAAATTAATTCCTTTCTCAGGAAGACTGAACTTGATTGCCAAGTATGTCTTATTCTTCATAGCACCTCAGGATATTTAGTACTAGAGAACCTTATTGCATGTGGCTGGTTTCTCCCCTTTGTAGTGGCACACAGCCGCCTGCTTTCTTGTCTCCCTCCTCCTCTACACCAGCAAACCCCAGCAGATTTCACAAGGAATTGCTGATGATCATCTTCACTGGGATAAGTTTGCCTCTTCCTGTTTCAGGTCTCTTACTCTCTGATCAAGGTAATCTGAAGCTGCAAATGGCAAGATTATAATTTATACAATAAATAGATATTAAGTGAAAATGTAATTCCACATCATTCCAAAATTCTCCTGCCTTGATGTCCATGCCCAGCTTTTAGATGCTGTTCTTTCTCTTCACTTCAGATTCACCGTTGAACTGGTCTTTGAGTTGGCTTGTTTGCTTTGACTTTTTTAGTCAAATCACCTTGATAAAGACAACATGCATCCAAGTTGTCAGATAAGATGGTGTGATTGGAACAAGAGAAAGTAGCCCTGCCCCCAAATACACCTTCTGTTTTTTGGGAGTCACTGAAGTGTATTTGTGTTCTGTATGATACCTCTCTGGGGACCTTGTGGGAGGTCTGTGTGCTCTTGTAGCATAGGGTGTATGTAACAGGTGAGCCAGCACTGAGAAGGCACTGGTAGCTACACAAGGAAATCATCTAGGTCTTTGTTAAATTAGAGATGTTTACAGCTGCTGGTAAGTGATTTTCACAGTCAAACTGAGAAGAGTACATCAGAATACAGGTATGGTGTGGCTGATCAGTGAATCATCTGGAAGGCTGCAAGCGAGTACCTGCGCTTATGATTTGTTCCATCTAAGATCTGTTTCTTGCTGGGTGTAAGTATGCTTGATCTTTTTTTTGGGTGTTTTGATTGATGAAGGGGAGTGAGAACATGACAACAGACATGCATCTTCTTTAAAAAGGAAAAAAATATAAACACTTTTTTGTTAAAAAGGAAAACCTAATTGTATAGTTTGAGAATAATGAACAAATGAAGAGTCTTTCTATGCATTTGAGTTACGTTTCTAACTATAATTTCAATAAGAATAACTGTGATACAGATTTTAAAACCAGGTAAGGTTTTTGTCTGCAAGCATAAACTCATCCCAACTGATTCAAAGAACAGTCAAGTCTAAAGTGTGACAAATGTTTCCTAGTCATTATAGCCTGCCAGTGGAATGTTTTCCTTTGTCCTGACTGCAGATGAGGGCATATTTAAGTTAGAATCATACAACTGTAGAACAGCTCATGTTGGAAGGGACCTGGAAAGATCATCTGGCCCAACTTTTCATGGGAAAGGGAGCTTAGATGAGATTATCTAGCACTCTGTCCAGTCACCTCTTGAAAATCTTCCACGATGGGAACTCTACCACATCCCTGGGAGGTTGTTCCAGTGACTGATTGTTCTTGCTGTAAAACATGTCTGTGTTACATTGAGATGAAACCTCCTGGTGCAATTTGTACCCATTGCCCCTTGTCATCTATGTGTGGCTCCAAGTTACTTTTTAATTTCTGGTTGCTCCTGTTCTGTGTGGCAGAAAAGCCACTAGCATTGGCAAGTAGTTTTTACCATGCCAGGTTGCATAAATACTTGCACACCACATAATATATGCCAGTTTTCTTTAGAGATACTTAAAAAAATAACTAGAAGAGGTTTAAGCAAACTTTCTTTCTATTCACCTTGACCACTATTTTTACACCACAGTATGAATATTGGAAATGTAGCTTTATGAAACAAGTTGCTATTAAGATGCAAACTGCTTATATACATTTACCTGGAGAACACACAAAAAAGAAGTGTTGTGTCTCTCACATGGCATTCTGAACAGGCGCCATAGTAAATCTTACGTTCAGTATGAGTAGTAATGTTTAGTTATTCTAAAGGTATGGTACAATAACAGATTATTGTTGTTCATATCTGTGTAATAATTGAAACTCCCTGATCATACTTTCCATTTTACACATTGTCAGAACCTTGGACCTTAATCTCGCTCTTTGATTGACAGTCGCGCCCGGGGAAAGAGCACTCGTATTGTTTGTGATAGTCACATCTGTTCAACTTGATTCAGTTGAGAGTATTTGCATATTCTTAAGTATTTCTTCTGAGAGGGCCTAAATCCTTCTCAAGTGTTTGATGCATTTTTGAAATTCATTCATAAGGTATCTACATGCACTAATAGTTCTGTATAATATTGCTGTGCATAATCTGACAGATAAGGCTAGTTTATTAAACAAGGTATTCTTTGGGGATGACATATTACATTCTGACTTATTCTACTGGGCAGAAATGTCAAGTACTTTGAAAAAGGGTGCTTGAATATTTTGATTGAATTAGTATTCTTTACTCAACACAAATTATCAACTGCAGTAAAATGTAGTCTTATTATGAGTAGTTGTGTAGTCTTACTTTTCAAAAGAGTTAACAGCAGGGCTTTTTTGTTTTCTTTTTGTTACTGGAACTTTATTATGTATAATTGTTCATTTGCTGCTGATGCTGATATTAGATGGAACTAGAGAGTAGATTCTTAGATGCATTTGAAATTAATTTGTCTGACTTTTTAAACTGTGAACAACACCTTTATCTTGAAATACAACTTAGGCTTTTGAAATACAACTTAGACTTTTATCTTTCATCTTTTTTTTTTTTCTTTCATTGCAAAATTTTTATCAATATTTTCAGAAGCGTTATCAACCTAAATTTCAGAATCCTGTCACTCTTGATAGTACATATACAACACTACTGAGAAGTACCATTGCTTTGAAAAATATTCAGGCATTATATTTGACTATTGAACACAACAGTGGTTCAAAATATTAACTTGATGGCCTCATACCATTACATAAAGAAATACATGCATAATTGAAACCCATGTCTTCCATAGGTTGGAAGTCCTAGTCCAGGACTGTCCAAGTTTGGACAAAACTAGTCCAGTTTGCTGTCAGAAGGAATGGAGATAGATTCTTGTTTGCTTAAATGGAAGTGTGCTGTGGACGCTACTACAAGCTCAAGCCCTTAAAGACCTAGGATCCCAAATGGAAGACCACTAATCACAATGAATAACTTCCCCTCCCCTGCCCCACATTGCACGAAGGAAGTGTTCAAAGATCCACCATTAGTGGCTGACCTAACTTAAGAAATGGGTTTCTGTCTCTAGAAAGGATCATAGCAATGCCTGCTGCCTGTGTACTTGAAAAAAGAATGATTCAGATTTAATAAGTGTATTTTTTTTTTGTTTCAGGTACATGCAGGTTTTAGTGTAATGGCAGCTTTTACATTAGTTTTGTTTTTCCTTTGCTTTCAGGAATCTCCTTCTGGACGCAGAAAAGCGCTTGCCACCAGCAGCATCAACATGAAGCAATATGCAAGCCCCATGCCTACCCAGACAGATGTCAAGTTAAAATTCAAGCCTTTGTCTAAGAAAGTGGTATCTGCCACACTACAGTTCTCTTTATCTTGTATTTTCCTGAGAGAAGGAAAAGCCACGTAAGTTGTTTTTCTTAAACCAAATAGCCTGCTTTGTGTTGCTTTTCAAAGAATTCTATAGATACAAAGCTCTTTCTGTATAGAATGGCAGAATTTGAGAGTATCCTTCAGCATACCTATCATTCCTGCCATACTTAATTTCTTAGCTGAGTAAAAGTAATTTCTTTCTCTGATTTTAGTCTTGTGTTCTTCAGAGACAAACAGCTTGTCCTCTACCATTACAGACATTTTAAATAACAGCAGCTTAAAAATATCTACAGGTTTGCGATCAGCAGGAGCGTATGTTTGCGTGCACATGTGTGTTCATCCAACAATGCCCTTAGCAGACTGCCAGGAAAATGTGGGAAGGAGAACCTATTTCTATTCCACCTGTTTCTAATTCACAAAATGAAAGAAGGAGAAAGCCAGTTGCAAGCTGAGAGAGGGTGGAGTCAGAAGTAAGATTTTTGGGTTGGTCACAAGAACATCCTGTGAAAAGAGTTTGCTTGGACACTGATTACCACTCCCCCTACTCACTCACCTTGTTCTGCCCCATATTTTAGCAGCCTTTGGAGGATGCAGATTACTTTTGCAGAGCCTGTAACCTCTCCTGCAATTTCTGTCAGACTCAAGATGTCAGATGTCAACAACTTCACGTGGGTGGAGAATGGATCGTTTGTCACCCATCCTGTTTTGCTTTTCCTTTCTGTCTCTAGAATATGGAACGTGAGAATGGCAGAATGAAAAGAGTTAGATGGGGAAAGTACTGCTTTAATGGTTCTTTTATGTCTTTTTTAAAAATTTCTTTGCTGCCCCCCTCCCCCCCCCCCCCCCCCTGCTCCCAT